ACTCCAAGCCAGGACTGGTTTTCAAGCGGGGCACCCCTGAGAACTGTCTGTCCGGGGTGGGGGTCGGGTCCCTTTAAGCACAGCCCTCGGCTAGCCTGAGACAGCATCTCCACGCTCTAAGTCCTCCTCTGATGTCCTGCCGGCACTGCTTCTGGCCATCCTTAAGCCCTGTTCAGGGTCCACTTAATGTGGACATGCTAGTTCGAATTAGCAAAACGCTAATTCGAACTAGTTTTTAGTTCTAGACGCGTTAGTTCGAACTAAGTTAGTTCGAACTAACTCTGTAGTGTAGACATACCCTAACCTACTTTGATCTTTTGAAATCACAATAGGTACCTATCTGCATCTTTAGGAACCTAAATATCTTGGGAAATCAGCCCATAGAGTATAAAATATGACACACAAAATGTTTAAATGGTAAATTGCCCATTTGTATTTTGTGTAGAAATAGATGGCAATAAGCTGGTGTTTCTTACAGAAGTGTAATACAATGAGATATTAAAATAATATAATATATAATATCATTTTGTGGCTCTTGTTTGCATCCTTTCTGTGCTATCCTTTAACTATTAGATTAAGACTGGAGAGAGTGCTGCTTCTTCTATTTAGAATTTAAATAGAGATTTAGCTGGCTTAATTTCCTTTGCCTCATAAGAATTCATTTGCAGGGTTCCAACATTTGTTTCCAGGGGTCACAGTAGCTCATAAGATATGTGTACAAGTAGTGCAAGAAAATTATGTCTTAATTCAGAAACAAATGTGATGTTTCATCCTCATTACCTTTGTTTGGTATCAGTCTCATGAGTCTCCAAACACTTGATCACTCACAATCAACTGCTTGCCTTGTATACCTAAGGTTGGGGTATTCCAGCATTCTGGTAGGTAAAAGAATTAACACAATAAATGAAGTCTTTACCTTTTTTGTGTTGTAGGTGTTATCTCTGGCCCACATTAGCACTGACAAGAAGCGGATCACACTGATTAATCCGCAGGCAGTGAATCTTGATGCCTATAAAGAGAAGCTGGAACAAGCAATTAAATTCTATGAAAGGCAAGTTTGCTCTTTTTCTGGGCTGACACCATTTTTCATATGGTGAACTGAATTTTTACATGTCTGACTGCCTCATTTGTGCTTTGCTCAGTAATCTATCTCCTCAAAGATTTATTTTAACATTCTGTGCATTTGAGCATCTTCTTCGAGTAGTGTCCTCGGGGGTGCTCCACTGTAGGTGTCAAGCTTGTCCCCGCGCCGCAAATAAGAGATCTTTTAGCAGTGGTCTGCCGGACCGCGCATGCGCATCAGGCTTCTCGTGCCGTTTGTGCCGTTTCTTAGAGCGTGCCAGGCACGTCAAGCTCCCGCCAATTCCTCCTAACCGTTCTTCGGTCGCAGACGGAGTGAGCTCCTTCTCCTCAGATCCTGTCAGCCATTAAATTACTTGTTAGTTAGTTGGTCTCTTAATAATTCTTAGTTAAGTTTAACAGCAAGGTCAACAGTTTTACAATGTTTAAAAAACAAAACAAAAGAGTTTGTATAGATACGGATAGATAGAAAACAGGCAACCATGCTGGGATCATCTGGTTTAAAAAAATGTGATGCCTGCAGGGAGTCCATGCCTGCGTCGGATGGGCACTCCCAGGCTGTGTCTACGCTGGGCCACTTATTCCGGAAAATCAGCCGCTTTTCCGGAATAAGCTGCGAGCTGTCTACACTGGCCCTTGAATTTCCGGAAAAGCAACGACGCTCTACTGTACAAAATCAGCCGCTATTCTGCTCCCGCTCGGGCATAAGTCCTTATTCCAGTGAAAACAGCCCAGTAGTCTTTTCCGGAAAAAAAGCCCCGATCGCGAAAATGGCCATCGGGGCTCTTTTCCGGAAAAGCGCGTCTACATTGGCCACAGACGCTTTTCTGGAAAAAGGGCTTTTCCGGAAAAGCAGCCTGCCAATGTAGACGCTCCTTTTCCGGAAAAACTGAAAACGGAATAGTATTCCGTTTTAAGCAGTTCCGGAAATTCATGCCAGTGTAGACACAGCCCCGTTGTATATGATGTCTCGGGGAAGGGCATATTCCCCAGAAGTGCCTTGACTGCTCAAAATTGAAGGCACGAGCATGCAGAGACAGAGAGATGAGGGTCAGAATGCTTCTCTTCCACAAAGAACTGCATATGCCCACTATCATGATGACCGCAGAAGTGGGTTTTCCTCGGGATACTCTTCACCACCTAGGGTGTGTCTAGACTACATGCCTCCTTCGACGGAGGCATGTAGATTAGCCAGATCGGGAGAGGGAAATGAAGCCGCGATTAAAATAATCGCGGCTTCATTTAAATTTAAATGGCTGCCCCG